TGCAATTATAAGTAAAAAAGGCAACAAGTAATCCACATTCAACGAGAGTTCAAAGGTGCATCCCAAACCACATTCTACACTCTAAATACAGTGCAGTTTAATCAGTAACGACACCATTAGTGTACTGACAAACTGTAGTTATTATACGGTGGGATGCAGACCAAGTATTTGAGACTCAGAGGATGTAATTATCCTTTGCCGTTTTCGTCGTCTCCTTAGTATTACCGAAGTATTAGGAGAATAAAAACTTTATTGTGACTGTAACAGTTACTGAGTACTTGGAGAATGAGCAAACTCTCTTTTAAAAAGAGTTTGCCTTTTATCTCGTGCTCGATGGCCGGCTAGCTCTATGCCATCGGTTGTTTGTGTGCTTTTGTTATTTTGCAGTGCTGTGTTTGTGAGTCATTGGCACAGTCTAACAATACGAGATCAGAACAGAAGCACAGAGCTTAACGCTAGCTAGTTAGTTAAATGGGTAGAGGCTTTTTTCTATTATGAGCCATCAGCGAGCTGCTCGGGCAGGCCTGCAGAGAGAGATTACATCCCCTCTATGTGGCTCCATGCTGCTCTGAAACCACTGTTGCCAAGCTTGCTGGTTAAATTTAGCTAGCTACCTACCTAAAAGGCAGTTTTGGCATGTTTTCTGTATGTTAGATTATCTGAATAGTGTATTTTGTTATCCAATCTGATCTGGTTTCTGTGGTTTGTCTTTTAGCTAAGTAGTTAACGTTAACGGGAGGGACCCTTCCCGTACTTCTTTCAGGCGCGATGATGTAGGACATCTGATCTGGCATATCTGAGTAATGACCGAATTACTGTGAGTTAGTATTACAAGATTCCCAGGATGAGTCACAGCACCTCTGGAACATGATGTTTTATTGTATTTCTTATATTAATTTGGCACCTGAATTATTTTGGAGTGTTTAGAGTTTGGATCACCCAGTATGAAGTATTCTCCTTCTAGTCTGCCCTTACATACCCCTATGCACCAGAGAGTGTGATTTTCTCTAATGCCAAAGGTGACAGAAGTACTGCTTAGAAACAGGAGTGGATGTGGTCATCTTCTTCAGGTCCTCCACAGTAGCATACTAGAGAGACGTCCGTTTGTGCTCAGTACGCCTTCCTTACCATGACTCATGTCATTTAGGTTGCTTAATACATGTCTCAGAGACTAATGGCGTAAATGCCTGGGTGAAGTACTGGGTAGGATTCAGAAATCCACAGGCATACACAGCCCACACACAGTCCTCAGTTAGAGGGACAGTATACTTACTTACCTCTCACGATTTAATTGTGTTCTGCTATTATATCTCCCTTCTTCTCTCTTTTCCCCCTCTGAACCCCCACCACCACCACCACCTTGTGCTTTGTCATAATGTTTGCCTTTGTTATGCTGGCTGTCAGTCACTCTCTGTTCAAAAAACATTTTTGTGAGAGAGTCGCTGTGAAATTGTGAAGATGACAAACTTTGGATGCAAGAATATTTATGCCCACTGGCAGACTAGACTATGCAGATGTTAACAGTTTAAATGTTTGCACCAATATGACAATTTTGTTTTTTACTTTTATTAAGCTTACAATCCATCTTATTACACAGACACAATACATCACATAGTAAACCCAAACTGGATCTTGATATTGTATGACGCATAATTAAAAATCAACTGTCAGCACCGTGTGGGTGTAGGCCTGTCACGATTAGTGTGACATTTGGTTGAGGACTGATTGTCATACACATAACAACTTACCAGTTTAATTGTCTTTTTTTGTTGACTTTATGCCACTGTTACACGACAAGCATAACAGCAGTGTAATGGTGCACACACATAGCCATTTGTCACCAATGAACTTTTTGGTCAATTAAATTTCTCTCTGCCTTTTAGACTGTAGGAAACGGTAAGAAAGGGAAAAAGGAGCACAAATAATAACTTAAAAATATTAAACCTATTACAGAAAAACACAAATACGCTATATGTTAGTAAACAAATTGTTGTAACTGATTATAAATTCTAATGATTAACTGCAGTCACTTGAAAGAGTAGTGGCAGTAATAACTGTGACAGACATAGGTGGGTGTACAGCTGAATACTCGATGATGTTTATGTGAAAATTAGATTGATGTCTCAACCTTAAATCCTTCGTTATTGATTGGCGTCCAAACATTAAATCCTTCTAATCTGATTATGAAACCTTTGACCCTTTATTATGAGATTTAAAGTGTAATGGACAAGCTGTTTTAAAGTGGGTATTGTTGTTTTTGTGTTATTGTTTTTCACATCTGCATCATAATTAACATTAACATTACTGTTGAGCTGATGTATTCTCTTGGGAGAGAATGTGTTGTGTTCTTTCTCTGTGTGTAGACTCAGTTTTCCTTTCGGGCTCTCTTTCTATTTCTTCCAGTGGAATGATCATATCCTTTTAGTGATAATGTATAGGTTTAGAGGGTCAATAGATTTTACAGGTCTGTAAATTAGATTTTACAGATTTTACCAGCTCTACCTTGGACTTACTGGCAAGCACAGTGACTTTCCGTAGGACCACAGAAGAAAGGCTTTATATTGTTGAAGGTAAAACGTATCTTGAGGTGTTTGTTTTTTTTCTTCCAGCTGGATTTTTTTTACCTTTACACTGAACAGTCTTGTTGTGTTAAGGCAGAGTCACCTGGGCATAAATTGTTGGATTTTCTAATGCAGGTTTCAGTTTCATACAAGCTAAGAAAAAAAGACTTGTTTTCATCGGATCGTGTGGAATATGTGACACACAGTGGTCATTAATATAAAGTGTCAGAAGCACAGCAGATGGCTGCTGTTGGTTCAGGTGCTGCACGGCTACATAGTTTAATGGTCAAATAATATTCAGCCTCCTGCTCACCGCAGCACACAGCTTTCACTGTGCTGTCACTCCCTTTCAGTCATGACATTTACCGTCACTACACATCCCTCTTGTTTTCCATCCCCCACCCGGTTCAGTTGAACTGATGTTTATTTAAAAGCATGTGTAAACCATGCCTCACACCTGCATAGTGTCAGGTCTTTCCTTAGAAGAACTACAATAAAAGCCAAACACGTTTCATCACTGTGACACATTTGTGTTACAGGCACGCCTGTCACAATTTTGGAACTGGAAAAAGTAACCCAATAATGCACTGTATATGTGTAAACCACGTTACTGTAGTGTTCAAGAGGTTATTCAACTTTAAACAATGTACTACATTAAAAATTATGTAATTGAATAATACACTATGCCAAAAGCAGGTCATGGCATTTCATCTACAACAGATTTTGGTAATCGCGGCTAACTCCACTAAATATTACTGTATTACACAACAAAATATACAACTAATTCATAGTTCAATGCGTTTGACAGAAACATCATAGAAATGCATGGATTAGCCATAAAATTAAAACCACCTGCCTAATATTATCTAGGTCCCTTTTGTGCCACCAAAACAGCTCTGACCCTTCGAGGCATGGACTGTTGTATCTGGCACCAAGACATTAGCAGCAGATCTTTTAAGTCCTGTAGGTTGTGAGGTGGGGCCTCCATGGATCGGACTTGTTTGTCCAGCACATCCCACAGATGCTCAATCAGATTGAGATCTGGGGAATTTGGAGGCCAAGTCAACACCTTGAACTCTTTGTCATGTTCCTCAAACCATTCCTGAACAATTTTTGCAGTGTGGCAGGGCGCATTATCCTGCTGAAAGAGCCCTCCACATAATGAAAAAAAAAGCGATCAGACCAAGCCACCTTCTTCCATTGCTCCATGGTCCAGTTCTGATGCTCACATGCCCATTGTAGATGCTTTCGGCGGTGGCCAGGGGTCAGCATGGGCACTCTGACCGGTCTGTAGCTATGCAGCCCCATATGCAGCAAGCTGTGATGCACTGTGTGTTCTGAGATGTTTCTGTCATAGCCAGCATTATCATTTTTAACAATTTGTGCTACAGTAACTCAAATAGGGATCGGACAGGCTAGCCTTCGCTCCCTGTGCATGTCAGTGAGCCTCGATCGTCCATGACCCTGTCGATGGTTCATCGGTTGTCCTTCCTTGGACCACTTTTGGTAGGTACTAACCACTGCATACCGGGAACACCCCACAAGACCTGCCATTTTGGAGATGCTCTGATCCAGTCCTCGAGGTGTTGCAGATTGGCCCTTGTCAAAACCACTCAGATCCTTACGCTTGGCCATTTTTCTTGCTTCCAACACATCAACTTTTGAGAACTGACTGTTCACTTGCCTAATATATCCCACCCCTTTGACAGGTGCCATTGTAATGAGATGATCAATGTTATTCACTTCACCTGTCGGTTGTTTTAATGTTATGTTTGATCGGTGTATATTGTACAGCAATTTGATTATACTCATGAACCTGGTGTTTATTGACTTGTGGGCTTGTTCTGCCACACTGACCACATACATGACAACCAGAACTCAGGAATGGAATAAAAATTTAATCATACACTCTGAGCAGGACAAAGACAGAAAGGCACAGGGAAAACAGGACTTCCCGGTCAAAAATGGGTTTTATTTCCTAAAAATCAAACAAGTACAAAAATAAGCACAATGCAAAAATAAGGAAATCTAAAGATACTGAACCAAAGGTTCTGGGCCCAATGAAATCAACTGACCAGATCCAAGGTAAAAAGTAACTCAAATAGGTTCCAAATGAGGGAGCAAACAAAGCAACATGTTAACACAATGAAACGACCAAACCAAATGAGACATTTAAGACAGCTGATCAGCCTCGACAAATACAAAGGGGAGAACACAATACGCAAGACATTAAAAGTATGTTTAATATTTAACATAAGTGACGCAATAAACATAATATAACAACATCATAACATATATGAAAACTATAAAACATAACCAAAGGAGTGTATAATTAATTATGACGTTTGGGGTTAGTTGGTGTCTTCGGGGGAACTGAAAATCATGCTTTCTGGAGCCGGCCGGTCTTTTGACTGCGTAACCCCGCCACTCAGTCGTGGGGCAGTCGTGGCTTAATGGTTAGAGAGTCGGACTTGTAACCTGAATGTGAATCTGTAGGTCGTGCGTTAGAGTCTCAGCTCCGGCAGGGATTGTAGGTGGGGGGAGTGAATGACCAGTGCTCTCCTCCACCCTCAATACCACGACTGAGGTGAGACCCTTGAGCAAGGCACCAAACCCCCAACTGCTCCCCAGGCGCCGCAGCAACAACAAAAAAAAAAAGGCTGCCCACTGCTCCGGGTGTGTGTTCACTACTGTGTGTGTGTGCACTTGGATGGGTTAAATTACTTGGCTACACGTCACTTCACTCCAGGAACTCCAGCAACTCCATTCTCGCCACAACCAGGGTAACTCGAAGAAACTCAAATTAGAACTTCTACAGTAACAGAAACTAGAATGCGTGCACTCAAACTAGTAAAGTTGTGTTATAAAAGTAAATGAACATGAATAAAATGAATGACAATTATAACGGAAACCATGTTTTTGTCTTTAATATGTGATATGTTTTAATCAAGTTAGCAAATAAACTGAATGCATGTATCGTAGCTGTAACATAAGGAAACATGAATTTAAATGATGTATTCTGAATGAAATTAATAAAGGTGCATGTTGAGCAGTAGATCATACCAGGGAATATAAGTATGTGAGTGAAGGTGTTACATATGCTGTTTGGCAGTAGTCACGGCCATCACTCAACCCCAGCATTGCGTTCCTAAACATGGAAAAGTAGAAAATCCTTTTATATAGTGTGTATGTAGTGTTAATATCAGATAAAATAGTTTTGAACAGCTACTGGACCTGGCAGCTGTGTTTGTATTGATAAGGACATGTCCACACACGCACATAAACAGAGGCAATGGAATTTTACTCCTGGCCTCTTTTATCAAAGTAAGTGGAGGTGCAGTGTTCCACGTTGTCAGCAGAGTTAGCAAATTCTCAGTTTAAATTCTCACATAGACATGCTAGCTGGCTAAAGGCTCGTCCCTAGTCTGGGTTCACTAGCTAAGCTGTTTTCTCTTATTCTCACAAAAACAGTGCAATAGCACACTTCCTTGGTTATCTGTCTAAAGCAGACTCCAACAAAATGAGGTTTTATGTTCAGAGATCATTTGTAGTTAGTCTTAATTTCCTTCATGAACTGAAGCCATGTAACATTACAGCCTATGATGCACAGTATATGTAAAACGATACATTGGATCTAAAAACATCTGGGAATTTGGAGGTAAGCTATAAAAAAGAGGCTAGTATGTGACATTAAAAGTAAAAAATAATATGAACTTGTGATTTAGATGAACAGAGATTTAAAATGAACAGTTCGAGGATAAACCATGTTTGTACCAATCAAAAAATGGAAAATAAAAAAAAATTACTTATTTTCTGAATTTAGCCATTTAATGCTTTAGCTATGAATAAAAAAAACAAAAAAAAAAACATTATTTTTTCTATTTTAGCAGACAATCTAGACTCGAAAATATGATGTTTTAGAATATTGGCTTATATACTCCATTTTAGGTATATATTTTGACAATCGTCTATTTTGACCCAGAAGAAAGGAAAAGTGGATGACAGCCTCCTGGAAATGGCAGTGGCCAAGTTAATAAATGAGGTAAATTTGTTGAGCCCACAAGATCATTGCGTTTGATACGTGTATGCAGTTGTCAAATTGTTAACGAAGAAAAGTATTGCCAAACACTTGCTACAATAAATTTAATGATATTGCGGAGAAACAGATTGACTTCATTTATGGACCTGGCCGCTGCTGTTTCTAGGAGGTCGTCATCCACTTTTCTTTCCTTCTCAGGTTGTGGTCTTGGCAAAACCCGCAGACGCTCATGGCTGAGCATTTCTCTACACCGATTTGAAATTCAGCACTCCCCGTTTTGTCATGCACCTGTGAAAATACTATCACTATCATTCTGTTCTGTTTGTCAGGAAGCTTTTTAAGTAGACAACATTTTGGGTGGCATTTGTGCACAAGTGTTTCATTTGGTATTACAGAAGTATAATACTGCTGTTTTCCAAGGTACCTTATTTGCCCATTCTGTATTAATATATTTTCTATATCGGCTCACGCGTGGCAGAGCAGAAAATCCCTGTCATTGAAAGACTGCAAGTTTGAATCCCAACGACACCATAGCAATGTTTGGCTGAGAGACAAGAAAACATAATTAGCCCTGCTCTCTGGGTGGGGAGCGAATTACTCTCTCCCCCTGTCGATTAAGGTGACACAAGCCAATTGTGGGCGTCTGTGAGCTGTTAGTGGGCAGTTAGCATCTCCTCCAAGCATGTCCAGCTGCCCAGAAGCAGTTTGAAAAGATGCAGTGGAAAACAGCACATATCTCAGAGGAAGTATGTGTTAGCCCTCATCCTCCTAGATATTCCTTAACTTGTTTTATTTTAGTCAAATCCCTTATTTCTTACTTTCATAATTTCTTATGTAGAAATTATGAAATAGTGAAGATAATGTTTTGGTGTCACTGGGCAATCAGCTCTAGTAAAGATTAGATGTACATGTAAGCATGTGGTTCTATATTGGTTATGCAGGGAGCAAGAACAGGATGGAAAGAATAAAATAGCTTAACTGCGAGATTTGTCTGAGATTTGTCACACACTGAACTGAAGATCAACCAGATTGTTGTCGTTGTTGTTGTTGTTGTTGTTGTTGTTGTTGTAGCAGTGTAAGAACCGATGACTGCTCTTATGTCATCATCTCTACCATGAATAGCCTGATGTGTGAAATAGCTTTGTGCCTATAGAAAATATGTAAAATTCAGTATTTGCTATTACATAAAAAGACCCAGAGACCTTGTTTAACATGGAGCGGGTTCCAGTTGTCCGAGTTGTCCTGCCACTGAGTGCTGAGTTTTATGGGGTTTGGTCTTTTTTCATTGCGATCGTGCTGCTTCAGCAGTCAGTACGGTTATTGTACTCTCAGAGTATTCTTTACAAATTACACATTCTAATTAGGGCCACTCCTGTGTGGAAAAAATCACCACCCGTGCTCTCTTGTTGTTCTCTGTGCAGCTCCTGTACTTGCTTTCCAAGGACAAGAAATTCCAGTTTTGCTTCCACTGTGCTTTTCTTCAGGTGATTGATTACCTGAACTGTCCTTAAAGGGAAACGCCGCCCTAAAAGACTCGAGTATCAATGTTTATGACGAATATACGCTGATATACAATGGTGTTCAAGAGTTATTTCTTCAATCAAATTCTGAGTAGACTTTTTTGGTTGAAATTTTTTTTCATTAACCTGGCTGGTGCGTTTTTTTGTTTTTTTTTGTATTAACAGTTTCCTACATTATTCACAATGCCATTCATCTACCCTCTGATAGTGGTGCTGGTGGGCATTAGCTCTGTTAAGAACTGTTGTAACTGCAGAGTCTGCCTGTGATGTCAGAGCAGCTTCTTCACCTTCTTCTCACAGGAATAACATAAATACAGGAATAATATAAATCAACCAACATGTTAGATATGCTAAGCATATAACAAATATATGAATATAATGAACTTTTCAATGAACTCTTAATGCCCTGGCACTAAAAAGAACATTTGTGATGTGGAAGTCTATTTTCACCAGCACTCCATGTTCATGTCTGGGCTGTATGAAATATCTTTGTTTCAAAATAATTAGACAAATTGGCTAACCAGTATCGTCAAATGTCAGGTGTTTTTGTATGTGGAATATTCCATTTATGTGGTTTCTTTAGAAAAGCCAATAAAAAGCCAGGTGGTTAATGCTCTGTTTTCCAGTTATCGATTAAATACACATTGAAAGTGTTTCAGGGAACACTTTATGATCAAATAGACTCCTGTAATTATGGGGACTGTTAATCATTTTTTATGGTTTATGGTATCTTATTTGTTTTTATTACATAATAGTCTCATGTCTGTCACTTTACCTATCTTTGCAACACATTTTTAAAATCAAGGGGGCCCTACTGCCTTCCACCCCCTGAACATAATTTGCCTGCCTGTAATTACTCATTAAATCCAATTTATTAAGGGATCTTTCGAGATAGATAGTCTTGAGCGAAAGAAATTTTAAATAAAAAGACTTCACAAATATAATCATGAATTGTCACAATCCAAATTGTTTGGATCCTGGCCCTGGGGACTGGCAGTATCAACACATGACCATGGACTGCTGCCAAAAATGACTTTCCCCAGTGTGGTTTAGCAAGTTTTGTTTTTACGGATGAACACACTGCCAATACTGCTGTGACATGTGGGTGATTTATTAAACTGAAGTTGCGTGATGTGGAGACAATGGAGATGTGAGCTATAGGTTACGTGGTCTCAAAGGAACTATAGATATAATTTTTCATTTTCTCCAGGGTCCAGTAGTATTTATGGACACAAAGTCATAGTTTGCACTTTCTGAAATTGCTTCCCAGTCTCTGTATAGTGTTCCCCTTCACTATTTTGATAAGGCATATACCTTCTGAATAATAGACTCATGTGAAAAGCTCTCAGCAGCTAACATTTTGCTTGTTGAGCTATAACACTGTTCAGTCTAATGCAATACAGATTGGACTATCTGTGTGTTTGAGAAGAAACATTCTTCTCCACAAAACAGTGCTAACCACCATATTAGCTGAGTCAACACATACACACACACACACACAAACGCACACACGCAAGCACAACGTGTAGTTTAGTAAGCTCAGTTTAAATTTGCGCAGGAACCAGTCGTCTGGTGGTGTGCTTAACAGTGTAAGCAAAGCCAGTGTTGATATTCCTTGAGGTTGAGGAAATACATGTTGAGGTGCTCATTTTTCAGTATAAATCTCTTTGGCTGCTTTCCTACGTTCTGAAGTGATTATTGCAGCAGATCCATCTCACAGTTACCTAGCTTATCTGATAGATACCTGACTTCTGATTGCTTAGTGGAGGTAGACCCTTTCCAAAGAGCATAGGATATGAGTTTACAAACACATGCACACAGACACACACACACACACACCATTTCAACCCCTCTTTTCATGTTCTCTGTGTAGTCCGGTTCAAAGCTGCTGACTGGTGTGACAGCATATGAATGCCCAGACTCTGCTACCAGTTTATAAACTATACTTACTTTTGACCTCTTCTC